CTTCCCATCAAATCTTTTGAGTTGCTATTGTCAATTTGATCTCACATAGATAATTATTTTTTTGTGTGTGTACCTTAGATGAAGGTTTACAGAACAAATAGTTTCTCATTAAACAGTTAGTACACATACTGCCCTATGACAATGGTTAACACCCCCATGACATGTCAACACTATCACCAGCTTTCCTGTCCCCTCCTGCCTTCTAGTCCTTGTCCCTGGACTGCTGTGCCCCAGTAGTCCCATTTTGTTTTATGGGGCTGTCCAATCCCCAGCTGAATGGTGAACCTCAGGAGTGACTTCACCACTGAGCTAAAAGGGTGTCCGGGGGCCATACTCTTGGGGTTTCTCCAGTCTGTCAGGACAGTAAATCTGGTCTTTTTCTGTGAGTTAGAATTTTGTTCTACATCCTTCTCCAGCTCTGTCCAGGACCCTCTGTTGTGATCCCAGTCAGAGCAGTCAGTGGTGGTAGCCGGGTACCATCTAGCTGTACTGGACTGAATCATGAATATTCTTAATGGCACCTAGAATAGTGAATCTTTTCCAGAAGGTTTTCAGTTTACTTTGCCCAGATCCATCAGAGGAATCACTTATCTGTGGCAGCTATAAAACAAAACAAAACAAAACCCATTGCCTTCGAGTCATTTCTGACTCATAGTGACCCTATAGGACAGAGTAGAACTGCCGCATAGGGTTTCCAAGGAGTGGCTGGTGGATTCAAACTGCTGACCTTTTGATTAGCAGCCAAGCCCTTAACCACTGTGCCACCCCAGCTCCTTACGAAATGAATTTCTTAAATAAGAAGACTTGAAAGTTGAAATTACTCCTTGATCCACTGGCTGCGGAATGAGTATTGTGTTAGTAGACATGAAAACAACATTAATCTCCTTGTACATCTCCATCAGAGCTCTTGAGTGACCAGGTGCATTGTCAATCAGCAGTAATATTTTGAAAGGAATCTTTTTTTCTGAGCGGTAGGTCTCAATAGTAGGCTTAAAATATTCAGTAAACCATGTTGTAAACAGATGTTTACAGGCTTTGTTATTCCATTTATAGAGCACAGGCAGAGTAGATTTAGCATAATTCTTAAGGGCCCTAGGATTTTCAGAATGGTAAAAGAGCATTGGCTTCAACTTAAAGTCGCCAGCTGCATTAGCCCAAACAGGAGAGTCAGCCTGTCCTTTGAAGCTTTGAAACCAGGCATTAACTTATCCTCTTTAGCTATAAAAGTCCCAGATGGCATCTTCTTCCAGTATAAGGCTGTTTTGTCTACATTGAAAATCTGTTGTTTAGTGTAACCACCTTCATCAATTATCTTAGCTAGATCTTCTGGATAACTTGCTGCAGCTTCTACATTAGCACTTGCTGCTTCATCTTGCACTTTTATGTTATGGAGGTGGCTTCCTTCCTGAAACCTCATGAACCAATCTCTGCTCGCTTCAAACTTTTCTTCTGCAGCTTCTTCAGACTTTTCTTTTGCATCTTCCTCACCTCTCTCAGCCTTCACAGAACTCAAGAGAGTTAGGGCCTTGCTCTGGATTAGGTTTTGGTTTAACGGAATATTGTGGCTGGTTTGATCTTCTATCCAGACCATTAAAACAGCAATAAGGCTATTTCACTTTCTTATCATTCATATGTTCACTGGAGTAGCACTTTTAATTTCCTTCAAGAATTTTTCCTTTGCATTCGCAGCTTAGCTAACTGTTTGGCACAAGAGGCCTAGCTTTCAGCCTCTGTCAGTGTTCAACATGCCTTCCTCACTAAGCCTGATCATTTCTTGCTTTTGATTTAAAGTAAGAGACATGTGACATTTCCTTTCACTTGAACACTTAAAGGCCATTGTAGGGTTATTAATTGGCCTAATTTCAATAGTGTCTTGTCTCAGGGAATAGGGACGCCTGAGGAGAGGGAGAGAGACAGGGGAACAACTGGTGGGTGGAGCAGTCAGAACACACACGACATTTATTGATGAAGTTTGCCGTCTAATATGGATGTGGTTTGGGGCACTCCAAAACAATGACATTGGTAATGTCAAAGATCACAGATCACCATAACAGATATAATAATAGTGAAAAAGTTTGTTATATTGTGAGAATTACCAAAATGTGACACAGAGACATGAAGAGAGCACATGCTGTTGGAAAAGTGGCGCCAATAGACTTGCTCAATGTAGGGTTGCCACAAACCTTCAATTTGTAAAACATGCAATATCTGTGAAGTACAATGAAGTGAAGCCCAATAAAACAAGCTATGCCTGTATTTAATGTGCATCCTCCACACTAGACAGTCTGTTCCATGGCAGTAGTAACTATGTCTTTCTTGTTCACCACTGTATCCTTAGTGCCAAGTATAGTGCCTGGCACATAA